TGAAATCTGTGTTATGACACACCAATTTATTTGGAACATTTAAAGTACTAACTTAAGCTATATCCCAAGAATGTTGAGATAGTTTCATGCTTTGGCTATTTGTGAGCTGTAGGACAATACTCTTCTTAAGGATACCACACTAATCACAGGGTCTGTGAAATTCTCATTACGCAGCTCTCAGAATAAGGAAAAAGGGAGTAATCTCTACTAACTTTAAAAATCAGGGCTCAGCACTGACAGTCATATTCCCACTAAGTGAGTATGTGCCTCAATATGAAAATCTTAGCCATGTGAAGAAAGTTTTAAAAAATTATTTTCAGTATGTTTTGCATCATAAATCTGGAGCTTAGTTTATGTTTGTTGTATCTGTATTATATAAAGTACTCCTGGAACTTTTAGTTAACTGAGTATGTCTGCGTACCTTTAAGCCTTTCGTCAACAAGATAAATGTTGGCTTTTCCATTTTAATCCCAGTTAGTGAGCCTTTGCTGTCTCCGGAGCAAAGGAACCAGCTGAAAATAGGCTTAAGGAGAAAAGCTGCCTGTCTTTTCTTCCCTGTGTGATTTTAGCACTGATGTGGACTATCAGCATTTCGGCATTTGAAATGCCACTTTCTTTTTCAGCGTTACCCTTGATCTACTCCTTTCACTTCATGTGCTGTATTGAACTGACCCTACCCGACTCTCCTCTTCCACTCCCACATTATTGCCTACCAGCCTCCTCAATCTGCCCTCCTGTGTATTGGTCTCTTTTCTTCCTATTTCAGAGTCCCACTCTTACCCCCAGGATCTTTGTGGGTGATTTCCACCTCGTCACCAACCACCTCGTTTTCCAGCCTTACCCAGCAGCCACGACTCTCATGCTCTGTCGCTCCCAACTTTGTCTTCTCCACGACTCTCTCTCCATCACCACCTCCCAGTAACTCCTTCCTCTGTTCCTCGCTCTTAGGATCCTCATGCCGTCTTCTCCAATTCCCCTGCCATTCTTAGCCCTCGCTTACTCACACTGGCTTCCTCTGCTCTTTACCTACTGTGTTCTCATTATCGTCACTCTGCCAACCAGGCTGAATTCTTCCACAACCCACTTGCTTTTGCCTCCTGCCTAAATGGTGCTTCAATTTAATTGAGTCCCTTGATTCCAGCTTTTCTCTTTTTTTTGCTGCTCTTGATTTTCTCCAGCCTGACTGTGAGGCAGCTTCTGCCATGCATTTTTTTTTTTCATTTTTTCAACTGTCCTTCATATTTTTCCATGCTGTCCCTGACCACAGGCAAGAACTCCCCCATGACCTCCGCAGACACACCAAACTGTTTCTTTCCAAAGTTCCTCTAAAGCCTTCTTTTGCTATTCTTCTCCCAAAATCTCAGCAACAAATACACTAGTTGTGTAGCAAGGATGCTGCCTATCACAACAGACAGTGCATTTACTAGTCCTTGTACTTCTCCTTTTGATTGACTCTAGCGATCTAATCTTATGCTCAGACTAAGTTGTGTTCCTGGCATGGATCCTTTTCTTGTGTTTATGCAGCATTTAGCACAAAGAGGCTAAGGCATTAAACCATGATGATAACATCCTCACCTGCATAATAGGTAAATGGTCTGCAGTTACCTGCCTTCTGCGGAAACCTCCCACTAAAAGAAGTGGTCCCTTTGTTACCCTTCAGTATGGCAGTAAAAATCCTTTCCTCAGAGCTTTCAAATCATGTGAATCAGTGTGCGTGGAGCTGCAAAGTAGCTAGACGGCACTTGTGTATGTTGTAACGAGACGTCTCTGCTACACACAGAACTTCCATGCTCTTTTTTCTTCAAAGGAGTGCAAATGCTCTCCCTTGGAAAGACGTGCAAGTGGCATCAGAGGCGCTACTCATGCTTTGCGTGGAGTCGCTGTGAAATTATCCTCACTGCCGCTTTGTGGAAGACGTGGGAGGGATTGGCCTGGGATTCCTGAAGGAGGGAATCTCATGAACACTTGTTCCACCACCTCTCTCATAGGACTGAAGGGTATGTGTAGTCACATCTCTTCCACAGAAAGGCTGACCCCAACATTTGCTTCCAGTTGCTAAAAAAATAAGTAACTACAAGGAATGAATTACCATGACCTGATAGACACAATGATTTAAAATTGGTTAGCCAAGACAATTCCCCCCCCAAATGTCTAGATAAAATAGGAAAAGTAAATCTTCTCAAATGACATCAAAAGCTAGATTAAGCAAGCACAAAATCGTTTTGTAGTTACTTAAAAGGAGAATGATAAAAGGTAAATGGCATTTCCATACACATAAGAATATCCCACTATTTTCAAGATATTCAGGACTTACTATACCAGTGATGTATAATATAATGTGTTTGAAAATTTTCCTGCTTTATTGGATAACTAAGTCTTAGCTGAATATTATAAATACCTTTCAAATAGCCAAATCATGGTCTGTGCCTTAAAGAGTAAACCATTATGTCAGCAAAACTGTGTAAGTAAAATTACAAAGAAGATACTCATTCAGTTCTGCTTTTCAGACAATATGTAAGAGAAGATATACAGGTATATTCTTAGTGAAACCTAGTTTCTTCCCTGTAAGATACTGTAGCAGCTGTTCAACTGCTTTACAAAATTATTTTGTATTTGATACATTATCTTGACATGAAAGGGTAAATAATGATTTACTATCCCAATTTAGTGACAAATAAGCATTCCAAATGTATAACACACAGCAAATACATACAAACCCAGACATAAAAATGATAGCCTAACAACACTTTTCCATTGCTTTAATCAACTTTTATTACCATTACATTAACAGTATTTTTTCCAACGTGTTTTTCAGAATAGAGGCCTAAATTTTACATACTTTCTGAAATAGATTTTCCTGTCACCTGTCACTCAGAAGAGTGACAACTCACTGACTTGCCCCCCTAGCTCTCACCGTCGCTTCTGGGTATCAGAATCAACAATTGCACTGTTGATTATGACGCTATGTATTTCACTATTTATGACAGCTTTGAACAACATGCAATGAATTAGTTCCCAACGGAAATTTCCAGGTAAATGTAGGCTAAATATCTTAAGTTATCTCAGCTGATACGTGACCACAACTTTTCACCATAGTTTTACAGAAAGCTCCTTGGGGCCTATAATGACACAACACTTGGGAATGTGGTTTAATAAATGAATCCTCTGAAATGAAAATACACAAAAAGGAAGGGTTAGTTAAGGAAGATACAAAATCAAGTAAAATAGTGTGCTTATCTGTATGTTCTTTTCTTCAGAGCCCTATGGAATGAATTACATCAACAGATTCCTTTACATCTGTTTGCACATGTAACTCGATCATGTTCATACATATGAATTTGGCCCAGAATTTCTTTTTAAAAAGCCACAAACAACCCCTTCTTTATTGTTGGTAATGAAGAAATGGAAAAAAAAAATCATATTTACTTACATGTGTTTAGATGTATTAGATAGTATATAGATACATAGATATGTAGTAGATATTTAAAGCCATAAAAACTAGGTTGTGCTTTTGTAAGAATGATCAAGTAATAAAGAAAATATCATTGAGAGAACTAAATTGTACTTTGAACAATAAAGCACAGGAATTCATGACAAACTGCTGGTTACACAATCAGCGTTCACTGTAGTGAACAGGAACATTAGATGCCTCCTAATTCCTATGGATTGCTGTGCAACGACATATTCAACATTTTCAGCCTTGGAAAAATGCCTGCGTGTCTAGGAGAAAATGATGTAGCAAAAGAAACCCTCTCTTCCTTTATTTTGTAGTTAAAATTTAACTCCTGTCATTTATTTTTACTGTCTGTCTCAGGTGTTGTGGTAGAATAGATGGTGCGTAATCGTTTCTGATTTATGCAAAAGCTTTGTTAATGTACAAATTACATACGTTGGGACAAAAACTTGCAACCGTATCTTGGCAAAGATGGGTTCTGACTATAGCATTTGGTCATGATATACGACATTTTGGAAAGCACTAACTATTCGCTCAGTGTCAAGTATCTGAAAACTCTTTTGAGTTGCAGTCTGCTTCTTTCCCTCAGTTTTACTGCCTTGCCTTTAACTTACACCAAGAGATACGGTATCCCACGAATTTCACACACCGAATTAATACCGATTTGGATAGCACTAGCTGAGTGAAACTGAATTAAAGATGCATCGTAAGAGGCAAGTAAGAACCCTGTCATTGAGATACATGAATATGAGTTATTTCATACATGCGAATCATCCAAATGATCTTCAATCCCTGTCCAAAACCTGGACTTCCCTGGACATTATGTGTTGAGCTCACATTGCATGATGTGAAGCCACAAGGGAAACTAGTCAGTTCCAGCAGGATTTGCCCATGTTTGTTTCTTCTAATACGAAGTTCTCTGTTCACAGAATGAAAGCCTTAAAACCCCACACGGGCCAACAGTTCCTGTAAATAACACTCAAAATCATAATCGCTGACAGAGATGACACAGGGAATATTTTCTAACTTGTTCTGTGCATTATACAGCATACCGAGTATTGTAATTTTCACATTTTTGTTTCTTTCTTACTCATAAGACTCGGTAAAGCAGAAGAGACAGAGAGCTACATATGCAAAATACGTTTTTAAATGAAAGAGTTTCAAATGCCTTTTCGTGAAAGAACCTTAAAAAGAAGTTTAAATAATTTGGTAAATTAAAGGTGCAGGGTCCTCTAGTTGGTAGAAATTTCCAAATTGCTTATGTTTTATGTAAAACAATTCTTGATACCAGCTCCTTTGCCAGAGCTTATTTTTTATAATTAACCTCTGCTCGTACCTCATTCCACTGCCCCGAGTGCAGAAACAAAACCCCGCCTGCTGCTAGCCTTACTAAACTCGGTGTAAAAATAAACCCGACTAACTCCTCTCCAAGCCCAGCGCATACGGATTTGCTTTTCGGGAGGTGATGAGCCACCCTCTTCTCCCAGCCGTCCCCACACGCTCACCCCCCCCGCACCCTGGGCAGCGGGAGGCTGTACTCACCGCGATGCCGTGTGGTCCAGCCACGGCAGCCTTCAGCGGCGGCAGCGCACGCTGGGACCTACAAACCGTCCCTCCGTGCGGCGAGCGAGCCCTGGCACAGGGCAGGCTCTCCGCAGCCCTGGCCGGGTTATTTGCTCACAACACGGGTGCCCGGGAAGGTGCGGTGAAGCGGTTCCCCGGGGTGAGACCTCCTGCGACGCTCGCCTCCCCCCTCCTTGCCTTTAATCAATGTGAATATCGGGTTAAAAGTAACGGGTTTCGGGTAGTTCTCTCGGGTTTCACTTCTTGCTTTTGCTTTAACCAGCCGCGCAGCTCAAAAACGAGGTTCCCCGACTCTCGCGGCCGCGCTCGCACAGCCCTGCGCTTTCCGGGATTTTCACTCGAAAGAATCGAAAAGGCGAAAACTATCGGGAAACCAACCGCAAGCCCCAAACCACCCAGCG